CCTAAATCACTCGTACGCACAATTTAAGAACAAATCTGTGCGTACGAACGGTTCTTGCATGAGGCCCATTGATCCTTGCTGTCATCACATGCCCGAATTAGCTACAGGAAACTGATTCAGAATTAGACTTGAATATTTATTCACAACATACAATGTTTACCACAACCTCTCAGCGCCTCATAGCGTTCACAAAGTGCTAGTTTTAGCAACTTCTTAAGAAATTATTTCTTTYGAATTGACATCATGCCAAGAACAGGAAGTGACCTCACCATTTCCGTGTGACTCTGCTCTCAAACAGGAAAMTCCTATAAGCTTAAATGTAAAAACAWTMTGTGTTGTGTTGTTTTAGTGCAKGGCGTSTAACTAAATAGACCCAGGCAGTTGATGTTCTACTCAAATTACAACTAAATCACAGTATAAAATAAAAATGATTGCAAAATGACTCTAGCTGAGGTTGTTCAAAGACAGCAGGTAAGATATTAATTGTTCATGTCCTGTCTGTAGAATCCCACTTTAAAATGTTTGATTTAGAATGCAAATAAAATGACACACTGAAGGATCAGGTTAGAGTTACTATATAACATCCCCTACCATCCTGTATACAAATATTTTACAAATTTTAGTTACCTTTACCCAATAAGTCAATAAGATAGAAGCTATTTTGAACATAAATATAATGTAAACACTTGTTCATTGTACCTGGTAACTCTTCTAATGTTCGACAGGTTTATCCTTTATTTTACAGTCTGATGACATCACTGAGTTGAAAGAAAAAAACAGTGAAGTGTGTTTTTCAGGGAGTGCCACCCTGGTTATTTTCAGAGATCTGAGACCTTRTGCTCTGTTTCGCCGAGGCTCAAAAACCCAGAAGCTGCTTTTTTAGACCAACGTGGTTAACTCCAAAGCCCAACATTTGCTTTTGGCTGCGGGACARGGCCCGGTTCAGCGTTCACCAACCTTTTGTCCTGTCATCTACAAGTCTAAATGCTGAAATCTCCATCCCTGATAAGAACGTGTGATTTAAAAAAAAAACATTTTTTAATATGCTTGTGCTGAAAACTGTTTTTGGTCAAATGACTGAAATTCAAAGCTGCTCTTTTCATCCTGTTCACAAGAGGCTTTCTGTGACAAAAGATGCCCGGGGAAAGGCCCGCTGAAGAAGGAGACAGATGTTGTCTGCCGTCACAAGCTGTTTGCTCACCAGTGGTAAAATAATGTCAGCTTGGCTCAGTCGTCAGGAGCTGATTACAGATTTTAACTTGCCTGGTCTTTTTATGGATCCGTGCTTAACGTCAGTCATCGTTTGCAGCCGAGCAGCGTTTATTGGAGAGCAAACTATATRAATTATCACCTGATTTAGCTGATTAGATCTTTCAGTCAACCAGATTCAAGATGGCCGCCACAGCTAAATGATGCTAAAAGCATAACYRGGACAATTTTACAGATATTGAGCWGAAATTCAGTGTTTTAGTTGCTGAGAGTCGTCCCCCATCACATACTCTGACCACTAACATGATGTGAGATCCTTGAAASTTTGTCATTCAAGGCAGCAGGTGYTACACATTCCTTCAAGCGATGTGAGTTAATTTAGTTAATTCACTTTTTGTCTCATCGGTGAGAGAGTGAGGACAAACATTAATGCCTKAGTGGTTTCGAGCTCAGTTTATAGGCAGGCCAGTGTGGCTGCTGTACAGGGTTTAATGGTTCTGGGTACAAACTAAAATGTTCACCGACCAAACAGAACAGTCGGTTTGCTCAGAAGTTTTTGTTTATTTTTTATTTTTTTTCTTGACGGCACAAACCCAGCATAAACAGACACCAGCAGTAATTTAAATCAGGGTCATGTAAATTTCAAGGGCGGTACGTTCTCAGTTCAAAGAGAAACCAGTTTGACCAAAGACTGACCACGTGAGGCAGAACTCTGGTGTGCGTTTCAGCGCTACAGGAAACAGAAGCATCAGTATGAGCAATAATGCTTTTTTTCCTGTGTGTGTGTGTGTGTGTGTGTGTGTGTGTGTGTGTGTG